CCCGTGATTCCTGCCACCAGCTCCCGTAGCCAGTCGCCCGTCCTCACCGCGTCCTTGGGTGTTGTGGCCGTGACCTGTGTGGGTGTCACTTGCTTACCATTATTATTATCGTCGTTTTGTTTCGGGACCCCGGTGATTGCACCCCTAGGTGGTCCACTCTCTAGGGGGCGTTGGCGTTTAACCCTTCTAGCGCGGGCGATCTGTGGGCAGTCTCTCATGAGATGCCCCTGACGGCCGCACATATAACACGCCCGGGGGGGGGTGGCAGCTCCATAGTGGGCACCCTGCCCGCTCCCTCTCCCCCCCGTGCGCCGCTGCCCAGACTCTGCTTCTAGTCGGGCTACCCTCCCAGCTAGCCCTCCCAACTCGGTCTGAATCGTCTCTACCGTAGTCTGCAGCGTAGTCATATGTGCCCGTACTTGGGTTACGTTGTTGTCGATCCCCCCGATGCCCGCCTGTATCCCCGCTACCCATCCCGGGGTGGTCTCGCGGGATACCGGAGGCCCCCTTTCCCGACCCCCTACCATCCTGGTGAGCTCCTGTTCCTCCTCTTCCTCCTCGGTGGACAGACTTGCGATGGTGCGCTCCCGTCCCAGTCCTCGGAGCTGTGCGCGTTCGCTAGAAATTCTTTCACATTTGCGCGCGCGCTCGACAAGGGCATCAAAGGAGAGGCGCGTACAGTTCACGTCTGGCTGCCACCACGCCGTGCGCATTAAGTATCGCTGGATTTTCTCTGTGGCCAGCTCCTCAATCGCTTCCGTGGTGTGCCTCGGGCGTGCGATCTTTGTTAGCTCACGCACATCCTCGGCATAATCGCGCAGGTCCTCGCCGGGTTGGCGACGGCGTGCCTCTAAGGCCGCTTTTGCCTCCTCCTCATCGCGCGTACCGAAGCGCAGATCAAGTCGGCGCATCAGCTCCTCTAGCTGTGTCTGCGCGCTTGCGGGTAGGGCTTCCACAAAATCGGCTGCCCGCCCATCCAGATTCATATTAAGTTGACGTAGCGTCTGCGCGTCCGTCCACCCATTAATTTCCTTAGCCCCTAGGACGTTGCGGGCAAATGCTCTCCACGAAGGTGTACCCCGGCCAGTGAATATATGCCTTATTTTCGCGTGGGGTAACGCGGGGGTTCGTACCGCTTCTGACACCATATTGTTAGGGTCGCCGGCCCCCGGGATCTCCCCTGCCTGCGACCCTGTCCGCGAAGTACCGACGCTCCCAGACTCTCCACTAGTGTGGGAGCTGCCGCCGCCGCACTCCTCCCCTGGCGGGGAAAGGTCGTCGCGCTCCTGTTCCCCCCCCTGTGCCGTCCCCCCCCCGAGTCCGGGTCTCCTGCCGGTGGGGCATCACCCTCGACCTCCCTGGGACCCGCTAGCGCTTCGCCGGCACCCAAACGCGACGCTCCCCGCCCGCGCAGTCCCACGCACCAATCACACGCGGGTAACAGGGGGTCAAAGGTCGGAGGGTAAGCGACGTCGTTCGTGCTCACTCCGACGCTTGGGGGGGGTTGGTTTAAACGGGTTTAAAGGGCTATGCGATGGGCATGCGTGCGAGACGGGTATCCGCTCGCAACGCAGGAGTCCGCAGCCGACGGTTCGTAGCGCACACAATCCACGCGGCGCCGCTCCACACACGCGGCGACCACCGAGAACAGCAAGCGAACCCACGCTTCCACTCTCTTTCCACACCCTCGCAAAAACCACCACACCAGTCTGTTATGTAACGACCACCGCGACAGCAAGCGCACCCACGCTTCCGCAATAACCACACCAGTCTGTTATGTAACGACCACCGCGACAGCAAGCGCACCCACGCTTCCACTCTCTTTCCACACCCTCGCAAAAACCACCACACCAGTCTGTTATGTAACGACCACCGCGACAGCAAGCGCACCCACGCTTCCGCAATAACCACACCAGTCTGTTATGTAACGACCACCGCAACAGCAAGCGCACCCACGCTTCCACAAAAACCACACCAGTCCGTTATGTAACCGCCGACGATTTATTCCACCGCGTCGGCGAGCCCTTATTTAACCGAGTCAGTCGGGATCAGCGGGGCAGGACCGATCTATCTCTCGATAGTCGGCACTACACTCTACCTGTCCTTCTCCCCTTTACCCTCTCCGGTTTTGCTCTTAAGCTAAGTCCCAACTCCCTCTCTCTCTCTCTTACTCACGGTTCATCATCACTGCTGTCTGGTCCTCGCGGCGCGTTGATACGTCCCACGGACGTTCGCGCGGCTGGACTCGGGAGTTGACGGGCCTGGGGTTGACTCGAGTAGCCAGAGAACCTTTTTCCTTCGCCCTGACCCGCTTTATTCTTTCTACATCAAAGGGGCTACCTGGTGCCGACTCGCGGGCCAATCAGCTCGCTGGGATCACCCGCCAATCGGTAGGCCCATCTGTATCCCAGCATCCCCCGGGCCGTTGCTTTCAGCGACATCCGCATCTAAATTTACCTGCTCAGCGACCCTCCAGCCAGAGGGCGACCCTGCTTTCCCGCCGCTCGTGGCTCTGCCCTCCTACCTGCCTGCTGACCCGTGTGTGTTGTGTGTGCTGTCTACCCGCGGTGGCTCGGCAGCCCCGTCGTGACCATGTAATTACAACCAAAGTCACGGCGCCGCGGTGGGTGTTAGCGTCGGGGGAGACCGTCCAATTCCCTGGCTGCAGGAAACCGTGAAGATTATTCCTTTACGAGGGCTTCTGGGTGAAAACCTGTCGGCCAGGGTGTCTCCCCACGCGCTCTAATGGTGGGGGGGAGTGCGTGCGTGTGTGTTCCGGTGGGGGGGGGGGGGGGTGGGGAGGTGGTGGGGTGGAGCAATGTCGGCCTCGCCGCGGCGAGATCGCAGGTGGGCCGCCCGCCGATCGGCTCCGTGGCGGCGGCATCACACAGTGCTTGTCCTGGGCGCCTAGAGGGTCTTCGGCTTAAGACATTCCACCACTACCACCAGATGAAAAAGAGACTTGAGCTGATTAAGGATTTTTATTTTCAACACCAACTCACACCACACTTCCACTCGTCATCAAAAACCAACCCCGAACCCTCTAACTCCGTTCCCTTTAATAGCCAGTCTCCCCCCTTTTCCGCCAATCGTCTTCCCAGGCTTTCCTGCCCTTTTATAATCCTTCTCGCACCAATCCAATCAGAGTGTTCTCCACTCAATAATCGGATTGTGTGTCATGCACGGCAGTGCTCCCGTGACCCCTGACCATTAACCCGTGGTTACATGGTGTTTGTGTGTGAGGATGTCCCGAACATCCTCTACAATTGTAACATGGATGTTGCCGTGGTGTAATGATTACCAAAACTGCAGGGGTGCCAGTTAGATTCGACCTCCTGGCTTCGCAGTTGAAACAATGGGCAAGCTTTATAAATGGGTACCCCACCGTTGATTGGCAAGTTTGCGTGTGGTGGGGTAAAGTATGGGCACTGCCATATCTTCCGAGTTGTCTGGGCAGAACGCAAAAGCAAGAAAAAATACTCTGTCGAGCAGTGGGTTCTCAACAGGGGTATGAGGCGGACCCATGGGGGTAACGTGGCAATGTCCCAGGGGGTAACGTACAGAGGTGATTTATACATTCGTGAAATCATATCGTACGTGATGGTCGTTACATACTATACACTAGACTATACACTACTATACACTACACGAATCAATAGACTACTATACAATACAGTACACTGTGTACTCACACTATACACTACACTACTATACTATACAATACACTACTATATACTACACAATACACTACTATACACGAGACTATACAATTCACTACTATACACTATATTCTTGGTTCTTTTCCTGTAAAGTCATGTAGAAGGGAAACAATAAAATAATAAAAATATAAAAAATACTATACACTAGACCACTATGAAACAATACTATACACTAGACCACCATAAACTACACTATACAATACACGAGTGGTTCTCAACCGGCGGTACGAGGTGGACCCCTGGGGGTATGTTGCAATATCCCAGGAAGTAACGTGATCAGGTCATTTAAAAATACGTTAAATTATATCACACATGGAAGTCATTGGTGCATAATCAAGTTGTATGAATCTGCCAATATAAAATAACGATAACATTAAAAATCCATATGGTAACCTAGAACGATGTAAAATACGTTTCTAAACTTACTGGTCGCAAAAAATGCGGGTTTATAAAAGTAACCAGCGAGCACGAACAATTTACATCGCACGTGCAGAGCGTCCATTGAGTTTAGTTTGTATGCGCTTGCAGTTACTAGCACCTAATCACAAAATGGACAATTGGTGAAACTATTGACGTTCACTATTCATGAAATGTATTTCTCAATCGCGTTAGGTCATGCGGGGGGGGGGGGGGGTTACTCAGTTGAAACTAAATCCAACACGAGGGTAGTACAGCAAGCCATACAACGGGTGAGAACCAATGACCTGACAATACGGAGTGAATTATTCAAAGGGCTCCCAAAACCTCGGAGATTCAAAGCAGTTGGAAAAAGACCCACCATAGCATCCCAGCATTGCCAGCTCAACTATTTTATTTCACCAGGTGTTAAGGCTCAATTAGCTGTGTAGCTGTTTTTCAGAAGCGACCCTGGCTATCACAAATGACAGCTCAACGAATTGGCGGCTCATCATCATCGCGTGGACATTTATAGCAGCAGCCAAATACTCCGAACGAGTGGTGACGATTTCAAAAGGGGTATTATCTTGACTTAAAGCTTTCGTGACTGCAGGAATTCATATTCTTTGGGTCTTTCGGTAAAGTCACGTAGATAGGTTCAAAGAAAATAATTGTAATTTTTCCTTTGAACCTATCTAAGTTACTTTACTGAAAGACCCAAAGAATATGAAAGGGGAATACTCAGCAGTAGCCACAAAACGGTTGAGAACTACTGCTGTAGAGAGAGGTTCTCTGCAGCTGTCCACGTGTGGGTGTTGCAGTTCTGCGAGCCGGCAGGCGGGGGCCATGCACAGTCAACATCACCCTTGACGTCTGTTGTTCCAGGCGAAGCCGCGGTGGCGATAGACCTCCCCGCATTCTTCGCCAACAATACCATCACTGACAATGTGGCTCCGCTCGCCGCAGTTGCCGTCAGCTCCTATGCATCCACAGTCGCCTTCAACGTCTTCAGCAACCCCGGTTGCCCCTACGAAATCAAGTGCTCCGCACTTTACGAAATCGGAGCTGAAGTGAATGCCCAGCACAACTACTGGGGTGTGCCCGAGGAGCTGCGGGTGAGAGCCAGGATTCTGGATTTTTACAATGACCTGGCCCTCGGCGTGGTGGAGATGTTACCGTTTTTCCAAGACCCGGGCCTTTCTGTCCATATTGGAAGCCCCGGCGAGACGGTGCTCACCGGGAACTTCACGGGAGGTGCAATACGAAACGGCTCGCTGAGTCTGCCAAGGTACGCGGCAGTTACTTTGGACCGTTTTGCAAAAGGGTGTTTTTTGGGTTATATCTCGTAAATATAAATGTGTTGTAAAACCCGCCACCACCACCCGACACAGGCAATTAGTAAAAGTTTGTCACTTTAAAAAACATGCCAATTAGTTACTAGTTCAACCCACTGCAACGTTTAAAATTATAGTGTAGTATACTAGTTCAGCACTCACCGGTTGTGTGTTGGAGAGTAAACCCACGACTACATCTACAACTCGAGCACCGTGACGTTTCTCCGGTAATAAATCACAACAACCAGCATCATGAGGCGATAGCTAAAGTTGGTTGATTCTACAAGTTGTGAGTGTGGGGGTGTGGTGTGGGTAGACCCACCTATTCCAAGACGTCAGGCCAGTGTGGAAGAGTAGGCCAAATACCCTCGACAGGAGCACTGCACCGTACCATCTCATGCAGCCCTTATCACCAACAGTGGTGTGAGCAAGTAATTGTAAGTAATTATCTCCGAGCAGAGTAAATTATATTTCATTGAGCGTGTATAAACATTCCCAGTCTGATAATAGGTTTTTCCCTTTTTTATGGCAACAAAACAGGTGTTAAGATGTTAAAACACCGAAGTTAAAACACTGTTTTGTTGCCAAGAAAAGGGGAAAACCTATTCTCATATTTTGGTACTGGCAAAGGATTTCCAATGTGCTTAGGATAAGGTTATGCAGTGTCATACGTAAAAAAATTTACATGTGCAAGTGAACCTGCAGTTTTGAAGTTGATTTTTACCATAATCAAGTGTGCCTTTTTTTTTCAGGGGAAATTACTTTATTACTGGCAACATATTGGTGGAACCTGCAAGTGTATTGTCGTTATCAAGTGGAGCCTCACTAACCTTCATGGGTAGAACTGGCATGCGCATTGAAGGTGTGTTGTATCTTTTTTACTTTGGTCTCTATGTATTCTTTATTGTAGAGAAGTGGTTGTCATCCTGCTTTGCCCTGGACTTAAAAGTATGCGTTCCCAACCTTACTGATGCAATTGCTGGAATGTAAAAATCCCCGTAAATTAAACCATCAGAGGTGCAGGTATTAGATGCCACCGTGGCTCAGAGATGTTAACTACCTTGCCTGGTATGCAGGTCGTGGATTCTATCCTAACTCTGACACCTGCTGCTCTTTCTCCATGGTGGTTGCATGGATTTTTCTCCGAGTCCTCCGTTTTTTCCCCTCATTTACAAGCAACATCACCACGCATTCTAGAGCATTTGGCTGCAATACATTTCCACACGGAAATGATGATATCAACCACTTCGTTGAGCTGCTATCAATCGTGATAGCCAGGGTCGCTTCTGCAAAAGAGCGACTACACAGCTCATTGTTGGAGCCTTACACTTAATAAAATAAAATTGTTCATTGATTATTTAGTAGATTGGCACTCTCGCCTGGAGAACCAAGGAGACCTGGCTGGAACAAAAATAATGTAGTTAAATTTGAATTCACATATGGAGATGGCTCTCCTTGTGTGTCCTAGCAATTTATGAAGCTTTCAACTTGTCATATTTAATGAATGAATTAATAGATTAATTAATTAATTGATATGGGCTACTGTATTCTGTAAAATCTATGAGATATCAATGATATGTAAAATTTAATCAAAATGTGGAAGAATCAATGAGAGAAGGTTGTGAGAATAGAAACCTTACTGTAATAGAGATTGTAGATAAATGGAGAAGTGACTGAGTAAGTAGAGAAGAATAATTGAGTGAATGGAGTGAATCAGTGAGTGGAGTGAATCAGTGAGTGCTGGATCATCAGTTAATGCTGACAAATCTACATTGACTTCTCTCTTAGGGAAGCTGATCATTGGAAGCCCAGATGAAGAGGAATGTTCAAAGTTGTCTGCTGATTCAGTTCCGTGGCATGGAATCATATGCAATTACTGTGAAGGTGATTCTTTCGTGCTTTACAAACAACACAATCCCCTGAACCGATAACATATTGATGTCGCATACAATCAAATTTATAGCTAATTAATTGTTAACACACTGATTTAGTTTTACCTGTGATTCTTGAATGTGTGATGATAATATCGAATACTTAAACAGATTTGATTTGGAGCTTTCGTGACTGCAGAAATTACTTTTTGGTTCTTTCGGTAAAGTCACGTAGAAAGAAAATTTAATAATAGAATACGACGTTTCGATTGCAACACAAGTAATCATCATCAGGTACAAATGAAAAAGAAAAAAACTAGTCAACTTAGAAATATAATGCAATACAACACAGAGTCGGCTACATAACAGTCAACACCCTACCTGGTTGATTATGTTCTTCCAAAGAGTGCTAAAGTTGAGAGAAACAAAACACACACACAGAGACACAGAGACAGACACATAAGCAGAGAGAGAGGCAACACAGAGACACAGAGAGAGGTGATGATTGCTTGTGTTGCAATCGAAACGTCGTATTCTATTATTTAATTACCAGTATTAACTACAGTACATCATCCTTTAGAGTGTACGGTGCTAAAGCCCTTCCTATTGAACAAATCACAAACTACCAATTCAAAGCCAAGCTTAAAAACTATGACATTTCTAAAACTATCAAAAGTAAAATTTGGGTCCTTTACCTGTAAAATGCAACAGCATGTATGTCACACACAGCAATTTTCAACAGATTCGCCATTAACCATGTGACTGGTGTAAAGGTCAGGTTACTCAATACCCCTGCCAGCCACCTACAGGCTTGACTCAGTATCGCATGCTGGTGTACACTGCATTTACGTACCGTACAGCACATAAGGACCTTCACAAATCCACACTTTACTCCATTGCTGCACGAGGAAATCATTAAAAGAGTGGTCCATTCCTAATGTGCCACAATTCATTCAAATTATTTTTTGAGTTAAAACGACCCCACTAAAGAGGGCATTACAGTACTTTAAAGCATGAATTAAACGAAGGTAGTCCTACTTATAAAATCAAGACAGATATACAAATATAAAAATGAAGGGGCATACTCAATGAAAATCTAGAAGGAAAAAAATTGTCTTGCAGAATTTCCTGAACTGTCCGGTGCTCAAAGCTAATCTGAGGTCCGGTGGAAGAGACTTCCAGATCTACCACCCTGCGAAGAATTAAAAATCTAGGCTGAGCCATCAGGGCCGGGACTTCAGGGACTGAGGACCAAGGCCATGCTTAGCTTTGTAAATCATTACAGCTAACTTAAATTGCAGGCGATAGCTAAATTGTAGCCAATGCACATCACGGAGGATTGTTTTTATGTGCTCGAAATGACTAACACGTCGAATCATGCAGGCAGCCGCATTCTGCACCAGCTGCAGTTTCCAAACTAGTCCACGAGGCAGCTTAGTATACAAAGCATCTCTGTAATCCAATCATGTTGACACAAAAGCGTAAACCCGTGTATCAAGATTATTAGTGGATAAGGGGGGGGGGGTCGCAACCCTCGGCGCACTTTAAGGTGATTAAACACCGCTTTGGCCACAGCTGCAACCTGAGGACGCATAGTTAAGTTACAATTGAATGGTACAACTAGGTTCTGCACCACTATTACAGAGTGTGTACTCCATTAATTAATGGAGGAATAAGCTCCCCTGACCCATCCTCAGCCAACTCTCTGACCCTACAATCATTGGCTCTGTCTTGGTAGGATTCAGCCTTAGCCAGTTCTGCTGCATCCTTGCAGCTACCTCTGCCAGACATTCTGTTAAGCAGGTGAAAGCTACATCTGGGTCACCTGAGAAGGAGACGTATCTGGGTGTCATCGGCATACTAATGGCACTGTAAACCGTGCCTCCAGATGATAGCTCCCAGCGGCCTAACATAGACATTGAATAAACACTGACGCCTGAGGGATACCGTGAAGGGAGGGTTCAGCAGGCCACCTGCTGGATCTTGCTCTGCAGAAAATATCCAATCCACTGTATGTCAGTGCCTCTGACTCCTGCCAGGTCCAATAGGCACCGCAACAAAACCCGATGATCAATTGTATCAAAGGCCGCTGACAGGTCCCACATAACAAGGGCTGAAATACAGCCCATGTCCATTGCCATGAGGAGATCGTCTACCATGTAAACCAAGGCGGACTCGGTTCCATGATGGGCCCTGAAGCTTGATTGAGTGACGTCAAAGAAGTACTCGGCCTCAAGATACGACTCCAACTAGGAGGAGGCCACCTTTTCTATAATTCCCTAAAAAGGGAAGATTGGAGATCGGGCAATAGTTAACCAGGATATCGACAGCCAGTCCCGTTTTCTTTAGAAATGGTCAAACTAATACCCTTTACAGGGGTTCCGGGAGCACCCCTTCTAAGGGAAGAGTTGACCAATTCGGTCACCATTGCAATCAGTGGCTCAAAGGCCTCCTTAACAGCCAAGAGTGACAGGCATCTAAATTGCAAGTGGCCCATTTAATCTCCGTAGTAGTTTGGACAAGGTCTACAGGCAGAACTGGTAAATAAAGCCTCAAAGACGAGAGAAGCCCTGGGGTCCAAGCTAAGATCAGGTCTAATTGCTGGGTAGATACCCTCTTTAATGTGATCGATCTGATTAGCAAAACACTTTGCAGCACTCTTCAGAAGGAGCAACCTTTATGAACGTACACTCTCGGTGAATCAACCTGTTGACCATCCTAAATAACTCAGCAGGGTGGTTCCTTGGCGAGTTAATCCTCATGGCGACGTACTTTTTTTTCGCCATGAATTTTAACTCGTGTGTAAGCCCATTGACAGAGTTGTTCGATCATCATCGAGCTGAGATCTGCACCAGCATCGATCCATTGTCTTAAGCTGTACTTTCCGGTTCCTGAGGTCTCTGGAATAACAGGGGGTGGTCGTGGTAATTTGAGCATGAAGATTGCGTCAAGGAGCAAGTTCATCAACAGCAGATCAGAGCACTAAATTGTACTTAGCAACCCTTTCATTGATGGCACCACTGCCAATTAGCGTCATGAAATCCAGAATGGGTCATTAGCCTTTTAGGCCGAAACCAACCTCCCTGAAGTCCCCCAGACCGTCAGAGAGGGGTGGGAAGACCTTTTATCTCAGAATGAATCACCCTGTCATCAGTCCATAGTCCGGACTCAATTTTAATGGCCCCAACTGAGACACCCTGGGCGAATACTAGGTCGATCGTGTGGCCGTGATCATGAGTTGAGCCTTGATTAAACTGAGTAAATCCCATGGAACCAATGGTATCCAAAATGTATGTAGCCAAACTGTCAAATGGGTCATCCATTCATGTATTGAAATCTCCCCGCACAATTGTACGAGGGAATTCCAGCACATTGCACGACCAACCTGGTGTTCATAAGCATACACTTAGGTACAAACTCCTTCTTACCACTGATACCTCTGTTTTGCAGCTCAATAGAAAATTGGTCTGATATGAAGGAATATTATGGTCCGATGAGGACATGAGACTACCGAAATCTTACAAGTAAACAATTAATTGGAACCATTAATCCTCACTGGCTCTCACATTCCAACCTCCATACAGGCCTCCTCCATTCACCACTCCCCAAGAAATGCATCAGGGAAAAAGGAACAGAGGGTTCTAAGGTCATGAACTGAGTAGCCCATATCAGGTGATGAGACGAGCTTAGCTTAGTCAAGACAAGCAGATTGTAGAGCTCAGCACACTGATCACAGGCCAATAAGGGCATGTGTAGTGGTAGGATAATCAGATCGTGGTTAATACTGAAGCGCAAATCAAAAGCTGAGATTAATTGAGTTTGAATCAAGGTAGATATCACGCAGATCCAGGGAGCAGCAACTCAGGCAGATCCAGGGAGCAGCAGCTCAGGCCGGCCCAGGGAGCAGCAGCTCAAGCAGCCTGCAATGTAAAACGATTTCAGTGAGGGCTGAGCTGCTCTGTGATTAATCTAAAAATAACTACTCCATAGTATGAAACTCGAAAACTAGATGGCAACTTTCCAACAATTATAAATAAATTATTAGGTAGAGAAACATGATCTCGTCAAACTGATACTGTAATTATGAACCATCAATGCGATGTTTTTTTTAGTAATCCCTGTGATTGGGTTCAAACCATCTCAAACTCACTACACACTTGAGAACGTTTCAAATTGCCGGTTGGAATAATTTATAGCTACTCAAAATGCAATGAAGTTTGTTTTTGTTTCAACAAGCATCGTAATAATAAAATAATCATCACGTCTGACTGGAACATGGATTTGAACTCCCAAGTTGTCAGTGGCGTTAGCTTCAGCGCTCTGGCCTCTGTGTGTGTGTTGGTGGTGGTGGTGGTTGTAACGCTTTGACACTTCACATAGCCTGGAAATTCACACAAGCCAATGGAATCAATCAAACTCCAACCACTGTTGCAAATACACGCAACTACTGTACTCTTGGGGCGATCACATGGATTTCGGATTAACCAGAGCAACACATCACATCATGGGACCTTCTTTGCCTGCACCAAAATATAAGAATAGGTTTTCCCCTATTCTTCTATTTTGCTACTGGTAAAGGAGGTCCCATGATGTAGATGCTCACCCCGAGCTCTCATAACTCTGATAGTGAATTGTCTTTGAGCTGTACGCCTTTTGGCGTCCTCTGGTCGAACACCGTTAGAGACGAGGCTCAAAAGAAAGCTGTCTCTAACGTGGACCAATCAGTTTCAAAGACAACGCATATATTTTCTTTGGTTCTTTCGGTAAAGTCACGTAGAATGAGAATAAAATAATAAATTGATAAAATAAAATACCTCCAGCGCTGTCCTCCAGACAGACTCGTCCCCTGCACCTGATGAAGGCCGCTTGTGTTGTGGCCGAAACGTCGTGAGAATATTATTGTGTTATTTTATTTTATCAATTTATTATTTTATTCTCATTCTACGTGACTTTACCGAAAGAACCAAAGAAGATGAATCCTTGCAGTCACGAAAGCTTTAAATCGAAACGCATATATTATCAGAGTGTTTTTGTATGCATTCTGACCACAAGTATTGTGGTTCATGCAGACATGATTCCTCGTAAAAAGGTTTCAGTTTTGTTGCCAGAAAAAAAGAGAAAACCTATTCTTAGACAGGGCAACACATTTATTCGGTTTAACCACGTAACTTTTCATAAACATTTCCAAGTATAACAAGAAAAAAACTGTTTAAAGAATGAATCAATTTCGGCTTAAATGTAAATCCACGAGTTATTCATTTGTCAAAATCTCAGTTGCGTGTGGTTAATCCGCAAATCAAATAAACCGCATGCGGATAATCGAGAGTCTACCGCATTGCCAAAGACATGCGCGCGTTAGAGAGCACTGCAGGATCCACGCATTTACGTCATTATGTTTCTTCACATCCTCGTCTTTCCAGAAATCACGCTCCAGCAGGTGGAAATGACCAATTTCGAGATGTTCCAAGTTTCGGGCACGAGCATATCTATGACAAACGTGAAGGTGAAGGATTCCCAAAGCGGCTTAACGTTTTTGTCCTCACAAAAGTACCCAGTCATGCATTTGACATTTGAAAACTGCACGTTTTCTGGGATTTTAAGCGATGCCATAAACATGAATATGTGGAATTCTTATTTTATATTGAATATTTCAAAGTCGACGTTCACAAACTTTGGAAGGAGCGCCGTTGTCATAAATAATGCAGAAGACTTCACAATTGAGGTAATTTATTTTGTAATTTACGCTTCACTTTGCAGAACGTTTTGTGAAGTATTCGTGATTTTTTTTATCAATGCTGCTGTAATTGTTACCAGGCTGTAGTGCGGCCAGTGGGTTGCATAAAAATATTTTTTTTTTATTTTATTTTTCACGTGGAAAGATAACTAAAGTCGATCTTGGATTATCCGGCAGCTTCGGGGGGGGGGGGGGGGGGGCGGGAGGGTGCCAAATTTTCTATACCGCCGGAAAATCACATCATCATTATTTAGAATACCTTATTTTTTACCATTCTTTCATGAAATTGTTTGTAGGTGTTGTGTGTTTTTTTCGTGTTTTATATGTGTTAACTATTTAAAATTGCCATAAATAAACATACAAATAGATATAAATGCTGCAATAAGATACTGTTTATTGTACCATACCACTCCAATCTGAAAGACTGCATCATGGGGTGATGTATGCACGTGCGGTATTTTCATTGTTTAATTTGTATATAGTGTATAATGTACCGTGTTTAATGTTTGAAACTGAATTCAAGTATAGCCACTTGTTTTGTTACACACTCGTGACAATCACTGGCATGGTTACAACCTTTGGAGCGGTTTTGATGGATTGGCCTGGGACCGCCAAATTTTGGAACCAGCCAGATAATCGCGTGCTGGATTATCGATGATGAACTGTATCTATATATAAATTATCTGTGTATCTATTCTGTTAGTTTATTTTTTGCCACAATAACGCTAAACGATTATATTTGCTGTGGATTAAACACTTTTTATCATTGAAAAACTATGACCCCTATCTTGAAGAGAGAAGGTTTCTTGGCCTATAGCATTTGGCAGACAACCAACCATGATTCAAATAAAGCTCACCCTGCTGATGAGACACTGCATGTTGAATCTGATATCGAGTTTTTCTTGCATTAAATCAATGCTGCTGAAATTATGCACTCCCAGAAGGCTGCGGGGAGGGGGGTTTAAAGAGTTGTGTAAACAATAATTTACGGGGTTTTTTTTACTTAGAGAACCAAATACAGTAGAACCCCTCAACGTAGTGTATAGTGAAGTGTATGGTATAGTGTTGTGTATAGTGTAGTGTATAGAAGTGTAGTGTATAGCAGTGTAATGACTAATCGTTTGATCGACCTCCATAGAGCCCAATATGTAGTATATAGTGTAGTGTATAGTGTAGTACATAGTGTAGTGTAGAGTAGTGTATAGTAGTGTAGTGTATAGCAGTCTACAGTAGAAGCCTTCTTAACGACCACCCCTGTTAACGACTAATCGCTTCACGACAGGCCGCAATAGAGCCCAATGTGTTTGCTTACAGACCATTTCCCTTTCAACGACAGGCTTTTATAGGTAGAGTAAACAAATTAATACTCTCGTATTACACATTAACCATGTTTCGTTTTATATTATGTGTTTATAATGGTGTTAGCATCTTTATGCATTAATATCCATTATTTAAATATTATAAAGTATACTCTTTGGTTTTTTAGGTAAAGTCACGTAGGTATATATATATTTTATGACTTTACCGAAAGAACCAAAGAGTATGGATCCCTGAGAAAAAGGCTAAGTTTTGATGCTATCGGAATGAAATAAGCCTTTAACGTGTATTTCCTATACTTGTTTAATGGCCAAATCACTTATAGACCGGTTTCGTGGAACCAATAACTCGTTAAGAGGGGATTCTGTATATGAAGAATGCAAATAGTCCACTTGTCTGTTTTAGTTACATTACCAATGATAACGCTATTTTTTTGTGCACTGTGAATTAAACTTTAGTGTAACGTTGCATTTGTATTAGAGACTTACTAAAATTTGAAACTGGACAAATTTATCGAATGGTTGGCCAAAACTTGGAGGTACAAACTGGAGCAAATATATTTAGGAAATCTGCCGGACACAGCTCTACGTAACCCATGCGTTTGTCCTATTTTGTATCAACCTTTACAGATCTCATCAAGCTATTTCACTGCAGAGTCGAGCAGTTACGCACTTATCTTAAATTCCTTCAACTGGAATGCAATTTCAAATTGTCGCATTGTGGATTCGGTGTTTGTCGGAGGGCTCTACGGCGTGTTCATTTCGATGACTCGAAGTGACCTCGAAATCAGCGGCAACCTCATTCGGGGCTTCCGCCAAAGCGCCTTGAGCATAAGCGATAGTGGCGCACACTCCTACGTTCACATTCACGGCAACACGTTCGAGGATAACCACGGAGATTTCGTGATACAGATGTACGCAGATCTCGAGGAAAACTACACATTTTATCACAATGACCTCACCAACAATTCGGCGACAACATCGCTGGTAGTGCATGGGGCGAGTCCCACTCTGCACTACAACTACTTCGAAAACCCCGAGGCCACGTTTGAGATGTCGGCGCCCAATTCTCAGCGGTCCGTGGACGCAACTCTGAACTGGTGGGGCCAAGTTTTGGATCAAAGCGTCGCTGCGCGGATCAATGACGTTCACAAGGACGAGAACAGGGCGGAGGTGGTGTTCTTTCCCTTCCTAGTATCGAGAAACGCCAGTGACTTGAGTCGAAGGGAGGAGACAGTATTCCTTGAAACCGGCATCCTGGGAGGCGTGGTTAAAAACCGCACGGTCATTCCATACCTCGATGGTGGGTACGAGGTGATCAGAGACATCACCGTGGAAGCGTCGGCGACGCTGACCCTAGAGCCCGGAGTTCAATTGAGGTTTCACGAATCGGTGCTCATGGAAGTTAAAGGTAAATGGGCAGTAAGGATAACGTGACATATTTGTTTGTTGGTATTGCTATGCACTAATGATAATTACCGAATTAATAATGGCCTTTTGGGGGATGCTGCCACGGTGTGAACTGAAAAGGCTGGCAACATCAGACTTTGCGATGCAGAGTTTTCTGGTTAAATTAATTCTCCTACTGGCACACCTGTGTACACCGAGCACTATAAGAGTACACCGCAGTTGGACTGATGGAGCAGGTCACGTGCGCTGGGCTAATGTCTGTGTGGGGGGATACTCCTACCTCTTTAAAGTCGTTTGGTGAGCATGGGAGAAAGAAACCAAAAATGCATCATCTGGAGAGGCTCTTTTTTAACGCTCTCAATAGCGGAGGTCCGTCTGCCAGTGACTGTGCAACCCAGCAAATGTGGGAGTGAATGTATAACCATAGGAGTTAATGTATCAGTTCGATCACAGAATATTGGTTATTATATTGGGTAAATTGTGTGTGTTTTAAGCATCTATATATACTCTGCATTCTGCCAAAATAGGTGCAATAAGCTGAGAAAGACAGTGAATTAAGTATATTTTCCCTCCACATTTAGAATCAATATGCATTACAGAGTATGTTTTGGTTGCTGCTGTAAATTTACACGTGATGACGATGAGCCACTTCGTTGGGCTATCTTTGTGATAGCCAGGTTGCTTCTGAAAAAGAGCTAAATAGCTCAGTGGTAGGTACCTGTTAACAATACAAATAGTTGCATAGCTTTTTGTATAGTTTACATAAGCTATTTTAATAAATATATTCAATTGGGATAATTTAATGCAACGTTCTTGAATAAGTATCATGGACAGAGCTAAATGCAAGGCAAATCATGATCGCTGACGTCTTTGAGCAACATCTCGTCTGTACAGTGAACTCCTTTCGCACTGCACGTAGCCAATCGTGCTTCCGGGAGGCACGTGAGAGATGGCATGGTGATGGAGAGATACTGTATTTTACCATAGGTTTATCTGAAGGTTCTACACAGATTTGTTTTTGTTCCCCACAGGTCAACTCTTAGCGGTCGGAAACAAATCCCATTTCATCACCTTTACAAATGTGGCCTCGACACTGTGGAGAGGTCTCATCATCAACAGCGAAACGTCCACACAGATCGGTAATGATGCGTGTTTTAATTGACTGGTCAACCATATACAATGCATGCTGTAGATATTTGATGCGAAATTTTTATCGAAATTAAAACTAATGTAATGTAACGTTCCCCCAATGTTATTCATTTTGCTCTATCTGCATCACGTGAGGAGATGGAGAACCCATTAGCAACACTCATGGGGCAGTGTCACCATTTATATTCGTGAACTTCCTTCAATCGTATCCACAATAGTTTTTTTATTAGATCGAATAAATATGAATGTCGTTAAACCCGGCACCCCACTCGACACAGCCAATTAGTAAGGGTTTGTCACGTAAACAAAATGTGCCAATTCGTTACTGGTACAGCACACCGGTGTGTTGGAGAGTAAACCCACAACATTTACAATTCGAGTACCGTGGCGTAATTTAGAAACGTGAGTTTAGAGTATTTGGCTGCTATACATTTGAATGTGATAAGCCATTTCGTTGAGCTATCATTTGTGATGACCAGGTGGCTTTCTGGAAAACAGCTACATAGCTCAGTGGGACTTAATATATACTAGCGGGAAGTACCCGGCATTGCCCGGGTCAAAAAGACAGACACACACATCGACTTGCACACACTTAAAGACATCGACCCACACACAAAAACACAGCGACTTACACACACACAGACACACATATAGACTCACACACACAGACATCGACTTTAGCTATACACACATGGAGTTACACATAATGACATACATGCATACAGCGACTCACACACACATACATAGACAACCACACATATGGACTTACACACACATCAACTAAGACACACACATTGACTTGCACACACACATGGAGCCATGCACACACATCGACTTACACACAGACTCACATACACACATACATAGACAACCACACATATGGACTTACACACACACACACATCAACTAAGACACACACACACATTGACTTGCACACACACATGGAGCCATGCACACACATCGACTTACACACACAGACTCACACACACACACATGCACAGACTGACAAACACAACGCCCTGCACACAAAGACACATCGACTTACAAACACATAAGCATCGACTTACACGCACACATGGACTCACACACACATCGACTGACACACACATTGACTCGCACACAGACATGGACTTACGCACACACTTGGACTTAAACATACACATCGACACAACCAAACATCGGCGCACACACAGACGCATTGACTCATGCACACACATACACACACAAAGCGTCCGTCGCTGACATGCACATGGACTCACACGGACACAAGTACATTGGCACACACATATAAAAAATAGTGAAATATGAGTTTTCTGCACAAACATAATTATTTGTATAAATGCAAGGTGATTATAAAAACAAAGGTTTGAATGTACGTAAGTTTAGTGAAATATTTTTTTTAATAATAGTTTAGTGCACGCAAACAATATTATGTTAATATTTACAAGGTTGTGTAAATGCTCGGTTTGTATGTACATGCGTTTAGCGAAAGAATGAAGTAATATTTGTCTGCACGCATAAACGCATAAAAAAGTTATTTATTATTTACAAGGCTATTAATTAAATAATAGGTTCATTTCTGCATGAGGTTAGTGAAAAAAGTAGTAAAATTGTACTTAACATTACCGTGGTGAGGCCTAGTCCCGTGCAGAACCCGCGGCCTCGCCTAGATTGTCCAGCCGACCGAGGTGGCTCCCTGGCAGGCTGTTGGCTGGGCCGCTCCCCCCGCGATACAATGACTATCGAAGCGCTATATAATAGTAATATGTAGGGACTCTATAAGCAGTAACTGCACGCAATTGGGATTGGGTGGGGGGTACATCACAATTTGAAGAATTAACCTCAGCGTTTCGTGTGAAAATGTCCCCCTCACCCCGACCGACTTTGTAAAAGCCGTCCCCCCCACCACCGTACGCGTGTGACTTGGTACGGTCGATCGCTCGTGCCATTTAATAAATAAATAACGCCGATTGCACAAAATCGCTAATTAAAGTAATTTAAAGTTGAAGAATGGGAAAAAGGAATAGCGCATGCTCACAGCGGGGCTCATGGCGTGGTACCTGTTTTTTTTTACATAAACCCCACCATTGGAGAGCCAAGCGTGCGACCACACACAAATCCCACCACAAACAAACCTGACACAATTTTTTTTACTTTTATATATAGATAGATAAATTTGTCTATGCATTTGTCGCTCGCATGTGGGTCTTCAAAATCAAGTTTACACCACTTTGGCTATGTTGCACGTGGGTCTGCAAACCCTTTGCTATCCAAGTTCTGCAATTGTATTTTAAATCAAAGTTTATTTAATAATATGAAACTCAAATAGATTACCAGCAAACTTACCGTATTCTCCGTATTATAAAATTCACTTTTTTGTATTTTAAAGCAAAGTTTATGGGTTTCATCTCAATCTGGTAGGTGTGGTATGAGATCATATTTGAATAACTTTATTGAAACTAGACACCCGTTTGGGGTACTTATTACTTTTTGGTGCAACGTATGCATATAATGTAATTACTTGTCTTAAAATATAAATAAATAAACATGTGTGCTTTATTTCGCAGGAAAAGAACCGTCTTTGTCAATGCTTCAATACGTTATTATAACAAACAGCAGACACGGTCTGAAAATCAACAACTCCACAATTCTCCTGGAGTCCGTCTCGTCCACAAACAATGAGAAATCGGGCCTGACGCTCATGAAGCCGATGTCAAATTTAAGGATAGTGAATGGCACGTTCTCCTCCAACGGCGAATATGGAATTGTCACAGAAATGCCCGATGTCGGTTCGGACGCCGTCGTTACAGCAGAGGGCGTTACGGCAAGCGAAAATAGATTGGGCGGCATCATGATGCATTTGGACTTCTCATGTGAAACGTGCAACGTGTCCGATAACGCCGGAGTTGGCCTGAACTCCAATAGAAAAGTGAACATCGCATTGAATAATTCCATCTTTAAACACAATGCGCTCTATCAAATCTCGACAAACTCCATATCCAAACTCTTGCTCATTAATTCCATAATTGGCATTACAGACCTCACAACAGCTTACAACACCTATTACTACTACTTCATGTCTTACTATTATGAAATGGTGTACATCACAGGGTCTTATGATGTAGATTCTTCCGTGACCATCAAGAATAACACGTTTACTCGGGTAGCCCAATCCACCCATGCCGCTTTACTAATCACAGGTGTTTCTGCTAACTGTTTGCAGCAAAACCGTTTCATTGACATCAATAGCCCTGCACTGCACTTACAGACAGATTATACGAGAAGCAGTGCCCAAATCAGTGAAAACACGTTCGAGCGCGTCATGTCCAACTCGCACGTAATTACGATTGTTCAGTCCGGCAATATATTATCGTTGAATTTTTCGGCCAACACGCTCGTCAATTGCTCTGGAGAGACCGCCATCGATTTGACTCCTCAAACGTCAATCGGATCGTATCGGATCCAACGGAACGTTCTCACAGGCGGCACGTTCACCCGTACGTTGCTTGTGCGCTACGTCCTCAATATGACGGTGTCGGAAAACATATTCCAAAATCCTGGCTCTGCATATGAAGTTAGCGTAGGCCCACGGACACCCGGGCAGCTTGTGGAGCTGTCGAACAATTACTGGGACTCTTCAGACCCCTACATGGTACAACGGCGGATTCTAGACTTCCATCAGGACTCCTCTCTTGAGGTGACTACCTACAGTCCCTTTTACATGGACTCAAGCCTCTCGGCGCTGTCAAACGTCACGGGCGATTTTTGGACAGACCCTTCCCTGCCTTTTGGTGGCGTCCTTGATGCGGACTATATACTCGAGCCATGTGATGGTGTTCAAGTCAACAGGAGCATCCTTGTCAGGTAAAATATATGCTACATCTTTGAGGTTTTTCATTAAAATAATTATTAAAAGAAAAAAATATTTAAATATAGGGCCTAAATAGGACATTTCATATGGAATAAAATATCCTCTTCAGATGTTTGGACCATTTTGCATCGTGCAATAATTTACTGTATTTTCATGTTCACAAAAGCAACGTCACCTGATGTCACATGACACCAGCATCGGCAGGGAGAAACACCCAAATCGTAGTGACACAATACACGTGATACGCTGGCTTCCCGCCACTCTCTCTAGTTTACAAATCTCTCCGTGTTTTGGCCCTTAACGTGTCATCTTGCTTCCCTCATCAGCGCTCTTTGCTCTGTCTCGCCCCTCTACGTTGTCAATCCCATCTTTTTCTTCTCCATCTGTTCCCACTCCTCCTACCTGTTGCCAATTCACCATTCTATTCTGTCCTGATTCTGCCCACCTTTAACACTGGAATAAGCCACTCCCTACGTGTCAAGCAATCGGCTTCACTGTCCATTTTTCAGTTCTTCCTTGAAAAACACTCATTCATACTCATACTCTTTCTCCCTCCCCAATAATTAACACCGTCATCCCCTTTCCCAACTTCCCTACCCCATCCCTTATACTCGCTCATTATCACAAACCGCTCACTTTCATCATCGTTTACTTCACGCATCATCGTCATAATCATCATCGCGCTGCGACCTTCCTCATCAACTCGCGTCATCTCATCACAATTCTGATGTAAAAGAAATTGCAAATTCTTTTGTCCAGCACCTTGGTTTCAACCTGAAAAGATAACAACCTGAAAAGATAACAACCAGTCGGATGATTCGAAATGTCACAGGCCAGATTTTGGAAATGTTTGGATTAATCAGGAACACATCCTTAATACATACATGGTAGAACCCCTCCTAACGACGGAAATTGGTTCCAAGAAACCGGTTAAGTGATTTGGTCGTTAAACGGCTATAGGAAATGTACGTTAAAGGATTCATGCATTCTGATAGCCTCAAAAGTTTCAATTTTGTCACCAAAAAAACGTACTTTATCATATTTGAACAACGGATATTAATATATAAAGTCACTAACATTATAAAAAGGGGTGGTGGTTAAGAGGGGTTCTAGTGTACACATATATGACTTTACTACATTTATTGCAAATGCCAAAATTACCCGAAACGTCCCTTACCTTATCAAATTTCTCAAATTAAGCAGGTTTGATTTTGGACAATATTTAAAAAGACTGCAATGCAGTTTGTCTTCAGGCTGTGGGGCAATAAATTTGGGAATTAGAGGGCAGTGCAGCAATATCCATTTCAGCAGTGTGTTTTTATGCTCCCAAATCATTGCTGCCGTCCTTCAACACATGCACACACACACGAGGATTGTGATGTATGGGCACTATGGTGGCTAGGAGATGTTAACTACCTCGCCTGGTATACAGGAGGTCGTGGGTTTCATCCCGACCCTGACGCCTGCTATATATTTGGAGTTTGCGTGTCTCCCCGTGGCCGCATGGATTTTTCTCTGGAGCCTCCGGTTTTTCCCTCCACAATTAGAATCAACATCATGCGCTCAGAGTGTTTCGCTGCTATATATTTCCACGTGATGATAAGCCACTTCGTTGAGCAATAATGTGTGATAGCCGGGTCGCTTCCAAACGGGGCTACATAGCTCAGTGGGCCTTACACCTGTTAAAAAAATAGTTTAAAGTTAAAAATAACCCTCATGATTGTAATCACACTCCGAATCCATATTTTTGAAAACTCTATTATTTAGAACTGCTTTTTGTCGTGTTGAGTTTGTTGTCCTTCCTTTGCACCTCTGATTATTGCACGGTTAGCTATGTACGGTGGTGCGAAAGAAGTTCAATATACACACATGTACATTATCGCTGTCGTTCTCTCAGCTGTGTATAAGAAGACATTAATAATAGGGGTTTTCCCCTTTTTTCTGGCAACAAAACTGAAACCTTTTTACAAGGATTCATGTCTGCATTAACCACAATACCTGCAGTCAAAATGCAAACAAAAAACATACTATGATAATATATGCATTGTCCTTGAAACTGATTGGTCCACACCAAGGGTCGGCTTTCTTTTGAGCCTCGACCCAATTGGTGCTCGACCAGATGACCCTATTATTATATGTTGGTACTGGCAAAAAGAGGTCTAATGATGAGAAGACATTGTGGGGCTGCACATTTAGTCTTACCATGAATCATATTTATTAACATTTTTATTTTATTTAGATCTGGCAACACACTCACAATTCCCCCTGGCTGTGAGCTGCAATTTTCTGCAAACCATGGCCTGGTGATTGAAGGTAACGCTGCATCACATGCATAAAATAAGATTGATGATATAAGGTTGGTTATAATTGATGTAATTTGAAAATTGGAAGAGTAGGCCCACATACACCAAATACCTTTTAACGTGAGTAGTAATATATGTGTACATTATGTAAGAGTTTCTATCTTCCTCAATGCTTATTAATAGCGCTCTATTTGCATGCAATTTTAAAACTGTTCATCAGGATTTTCTAAATGTAATTTTCAACAGGGCCACATGGTGTAAAGTGCAGTCTCCAATTCTTATTGTCCACTAGCAGGAAGTACCCGGCTTTGGCCGGGGGAAACATAGATTTTAAAACTTGTCTTCTCGTAAAAAACATGACATATACATACACATATACTCAGCTCTTGTGAAAGCCCGCCATACTGTTTGTCTGTCCATTTGTCCGTCAACCCCCCCCAGCCAGCTTATATTTTGTAGGCATATATACATCACACACTACATAAAATAGTCAGTATCTAGTGACTATAGTAGTACCTACTGACTCTAAAGTAGCATCTAGTGATTCTATAGTAGTATCTAGTGACTCTACAATAGTATCTTCTGTCTCTACAGCAGTATCTACTGACTCCACAGTAGTATCTGGCTCTACAGTACTACCTATTGACTCTACAGTAGTATATACTGAAAGTATAGTAGTATCTACTGACCGTAGTAGTATCTACTGACAGTAGTAGTATCTACTGACTCTATAGCAGTATCTACTAACTCTATAGTCGTATCTACTGACTCTATAGTAGTAATCTTGATTTGAAGCTTTCGTGACTGCAGATATCCATTCTCTTTGGTTCTTTCGGTAAAGTCACGTCGGTAGAAAAAATATAACATTTATACCAACGTGATTTTACCAAGAGAACCAAAGAGTATCTATAGTAGTATCTACGGACCACTACAGTAGTATCTACCGACTCGATAATAGTATCTACCAACTCTACAGTAGTATCTACTGACTCTACAGTAGTATCTCCTGACTCTACAGTAGTATATAGTGACTCTACAGTAGTATCCACTGACTCTATAGTAGTATCTACTGACTCTACAGTAGTATCTACTGACTCTACAGTAGTATCTACTGACTCTGTAGTAGTATCTACTGACTCTACAGAAGTAACTACTGACTCTAACGTAGTACCTACTAACTATACAGTAGTAAGTACTGACTCTATAGTAGTATCTACTGACTCTACAGCAGTATCTGACTCTATAGTAGTATTTACTGACTCTACAGTAGTATCTCTACAGTAGTAACTACTGACTCTACAATAGTATCTACTGACTCTACAGTAGTATCTACTGACTCTACAGTAGTAACTACTGACTCTGTAGTAGTATCTACTGACTCTACAGTAGTATCTGACTCTATAGTAGTATTTACTGACTCTACAGTAGTATCTCTACAGTAGTAAGTACTGACTCTATAGTAGTATCTACTGACTCTACAGCAGTATCTGACTCTATAGTAGTATTTACTGACTCTACAGTAGTATCTCTACAGTAGTAACTACTGACTCTACAGTTGTATTTACTGACTCTACAGTAGTATCTACTGACTCTACAGTAGTAACTACTGACTCTGTAGTAGTATCTACTGACTCTACAGTAGTATCTGACTCTATAGTAGTATTTACTAACTCTACAGTAGTATCTCTACAGTAGTAAGTACTGACTCTATAGTAGTATCTACTGACTCTACAGCAGTATCTGACTCTATAGTAGTATTTACTGACTCTACAGTAGTATCTCTACAGTAGTAACTACTGACTCTACAGTAGTATCTACTGACTCTACAGTAGTAACTACTGACTCTACAGTAGTATCTAGTGACTCTACAGTAGTAACTACTGACTCTACAGTAGTATCTAGTGACTCTACAGTAGTATCTACTGACTCTGTAGTAGTATCTACTGACTCTACAGTAGTATCTACTGACTCTACAGTAGTATCTACTAACTCTACAGTAGTAACTACTGACTCTATAGTAGTATCTACTGACTCTACAGTAGTATCTCTACAGTAGTATCTACTGACTCTATAGTAGTATCTACCGACTCTACAGTAGTATATACTGACTCTACAGTAGTAGCTCCTGACTCTATTGCAGTATCTTCTAACTCTATCGTAGTAACTGCACACATTGGGGTGGGGTGGGGGGAGGAAATCACACTTCAAAATGACCTCAGTGTTGCGTTTCGAAGTTTTTTTTGTCTTTTTAACGCGAAAGGAGAACCTCGCTCCCATCGCTGCTCAGCGAGGTCTCGCGTGCGTTACTATGGGCAACCGCGAGTCAGCGTTTCCGCGCATGCGCAGATGCGTGCTTCGGCGCCGCGATCAGCGTAATAATAAATTGTCATAAAGTGTGTTTTTATTAGTTTTTATTTGAGCGAGGGGAAAAAAACAAATAGTGTATTTTCGTCCGGTGGCTTGGTGTGTTGTATCTGTGTATCTTGCTGAAACGAAAACCCAACAGTGTGTTAGTTAAAAGTGTTGCAAGACATGCGCAGACAGACAGACAGACACAAAATTACTTTTATAGGTAGGACTAGCAGGAAGTACCCGGATTTGCCCGGGGTGAAAATATATATTTCAAAACTTATCTTCTCTTAAAAACATAACATATACGTACAAAAATATGAAGCTATTGTGAAAGCCCGGCGTTCCGTTTGTCTCCATTTGTCCGTCAATAAAATGGCCTAGTCTCACCATTGGAGCCTCCTTTGCCAGTAGCACCATGATAATTGTTTTTTTACCCTTTTATCTGGCAACAAAAGGACAATACATACATTATCAGAGTTATGTTTTTTGTTTGCATTCCGACCGCAGGTATTGTGGTCAATGCAAACATGACTCCTTGTAAAAAAAGGTGTCATTTTTGTTGCCAGATAAAAGGGTAAAAAAAAACAATTATCATGGCCTAGTCTCACCACCAGTGTCGGACCAGAGAACAACACCAAAAAGCGAACGGTACAAAGACCATGCACGCATCAAAGAATAGGCTTTACCCTTTCTGAGACAAGGCCAATCAGTTTCAAAGACAGTCTATACTATAAAAAAACATGTGATTTGTTATTTTTTGTTATTTTATTTTAACCTATCTACGTGACTTTACCGAAAGACCCAATAACATTATAAAAACATATTCTTGGTTCTTTCGGTAAAGTCACGTACACCAAGCTCTTAAGGCTAATGGTTACTCCGACTAGACAATCCGCAAAGCTATCACTCCAACCATGAAGAAGGACCCTCTTGAGGAGCCATTCAAAACCATCACTTTACCCTACATTGCAGGGATCACAAAAAAAAATTCTCCAAAATCTTGAATAAACACAAGATCCAGGTCCGATTCAACACGTTACATAAAATCCGTGATCTGGTTCCATCTGTAAAAGATGTGATTCCGGACATACAGTACCCTGGCGTCTACAAACTAAGTTGCCTCTGTGGTAGTAGTTACATTGGAGAAGCCAAACGACATGTCTCGGACCGCATCCGTGAACACAAAGCAGACCTAAAACACGGTAGGACCAACACCTTGGCCGTGGCAGATCACTGTTATAATTCAGTAGGCTCACATGACATTCACTTCTCCAAGACAGAGGTTCTCTGCAAGCCATCTGGTTACCATGAGAGATTCGTTCATGAGGCTATCCACATATACAAACACAATTTCAACCAAGAAGATGTATTCTGGCTTAGAAATCATTGGAAGGATTTGATAAACCATTTCGGGTCTTAATTGATTGTTCACGCTTATGGTGGCTTTCAGACCGCATCCATTATTTTCCTCTCCCCCCTCCTCTTTTCGGAACATAGATGGACTCGTACATCTGAACAAACTGTCAAATCACTCTCCGTGGTGGTAACGTTAAAAAACCGCCACTTTTTTCAAATTTTCTTGCTGTGGTTTTCACACCTGATGATGATTGCTTGTGTTGCAGTCGAAACGTCGTGAGAATTGTATTTTTTATATTTTTATTATTTTATTGTTTCCATTCTACGAGAATATGAATCCCTGCAGTCACGAAAGCTTTAAATCATTATAAAAAAAACACGTTTGTTTGCATATTCACCAAAAGCACGTGTGGTTAATGCAAACTTAATTCCTTGCAAAAGGTTTATATTTGGCGTATGAACATCTTAACACCTATAATCTTAGTTTTTTCGGTAAAGTCACGTTGAAGAGAAACAACAAAATAATAAAATATATAAAACAATAAAAAATTCTCACGACGTTTCGACCATAACTCAAACGGTCGTCTTCAGGTGTGTTGGTTCACATATTTATATTAAAATATATTATATATTTATTTTATTATTTTGTTGTTTCTCTTCAACGTGACTTTACCGAAAAAACTAAGAATATGAATTACTGCAGTCACGAAAGCTTTAAATCAAAATCTTAACACCTGTTTTATTGCTAGATATGGTAAAACCGATTATAATTTTTTTACGTGTTGAGTTTGTTTTGCATTCGTTCTTGTTCACTGCTGCTGATTTTGGCATCGTCAAATAATTATCGGTGACAATTGTCGTGATTAAGTTTGGTTACAAATGTACACTTACAGGTTTTTTACAAATCAGAGGTTCCTCGGAGGAACCTGTTGTTCTCTCGTCAGTAACGGGACGATGGAATGGACTGGCCTTGTTGAAAATACCAGAAGATTCTTGCCAAGCCTCCTTTGATGGTATGACGGACAGCTATAAGATAATACAGGGTGTTTTAAAAAAGATGGACCCGATTTGAAATCGCTATATCTTTCAAATTTGAAATCGCTATATCTTTCAAATTGGGTTCCATGTTTTTAAAACACCCTGTATATCCATATACACAATTTATGAGACTAGTGCGCCGATTTGAAAATATAAAGGTGGTACTATACTAAAGCAGTGGCAAGATATCTGGGGCTGTACGGTGGTGAGATGTTATCTCCCTCGCCTGGTCTGCAGGCCGTTAGTTCGATCCTGACACTGAACCTGACGTCTGTTGTATATTTGAAGTTCACGTGTTCTCTCTCTCCCCGTGGTCAACGTCATGCGTTTAGATTATTTGGATTTTGCTGTAAATTGCGATGTGACGATGGTGATGGGAATCTACTACGATGAGATATCATCACGTGTGGCCTGGTTGCCTCTGAAAACGAGCTACATAGCTCAGTGGGTTTACCTGGTACAATAAAAAAAATTATATAGTGGATCATCGATTATCCAGCACGCGATGATCCAGCTTCCAACATTATCTGGCGGTCCCTGCTGGCTGATCCTGCGAAACCGGCAAAACCGCTCCAAAGGCTTTAACCAGTCTGGCGATCGGTACCGTATGCGTGATAAAAACAAGTAGCTATGCTGGATTTCAGTGTTAAATATTATATACAGTACATTATATATTGCATACAACAACTTGAAGAATGAAAATACTGCACGTACAGTATATACATTTTTAATGACAAACATCAACAGTAATAAAAACTAAATATATCCGGCCAAAAGTGCGTGTAGCTCGGCGTTCACTGGAGCACCGGTCTAAAAGCTGCATCAGTCCGGCGAGCGTCACACACAAAAGTTGTTGAAACAAGAGGATATTTAATTGCGAGCTTTGCGCCGCTTTCTTCTGAGCCACCCGTGGCCACAACTGTCTCAAGCAGAGTTCCCCGAAAACTATACCCAAAAAAACCCCATTCCGCTTAATTTGTTCTCTGATTAATTTGCCTAAATCGCAGCTACTGTATTTGCATGACAGTTCATTCGCCTGGTGCATGCCCCCAATATTGTTGGTTCAGAATCAGAATATTTATTTAGACTGCAGGAGGAATCCGATGAGCTATGAAGCTCTTTTTCGCAGCTGTTGAGTAAAGCGTCACGTTACCACAACAAAACACAATGCTCAAAAACCGAATAGGAGTGCAAAGTTGAGAAAAGGTGGTAACAAAAAAGTCACAAACAAAATAAGTAAATGCAAATCAAGTGTTTAAGTTAAAAAAATGCTCGGAAGCTAAGCAGATTTGAGCCTGGATAGCGAGATTACATCGGTGACCATCACACACAACACAGCGGGTATTGTAGGTTGTGGGTGGGAGGTTTACATTGGCGGGCAGCAGAGTGCAGTGCATAACAAAATTTGACGTGCCGAGCTGTGCTCCGACGTCTGTGCTCCCCATCCCTTCCAGAACTCCCTCCCCTCACCGACCGGCACAGCGAAGCCATGGGCAAATGAACCCCCCTATGAAGTGCGCAGTGTGCGATTTTGATTCCTCGTTCAGCGAAGGGTTGTCACAAAGGTTGGGCTGCACAAAATGCGCACAAAGTGCAAGGAAGTTCCCTGGCTTGTGATCTACGCGGCCCCGAATCGTGTTGCGCGATGTCCCTTCACCAGGTCAAGTTTCTGTGATCCAGCACCTGCGGGTCCTCAACGCCAACAACGGCATCGCCATCTTCCGCTCTCAAGTGGACCTTCGTTTTGTTCACGTGGGTGAGTTGCATACGTATCAGAATAATATATATTTTTATTTTATATATATTATATTTATTGTTCGTTGGGCTCTCATAACCAATGCGATGAATGATTAATAATAATTATCTTATATCGTGCAAAACAATCATAATGTGCGTCGCTGAACCCTCCTGCATCCGACGCGGCCAATTCATAAATGTGTCGCGTCAAGCAATGGGGCACCGTTCATTCGCAAAAATCGGTTCGAGTGGTAGAGCATCGAGCCCGCTTGTTGCAGAGGTTCACGGTTCAATCTCAGCGGCCGCCCAGGTTAACACTACGATTGTACAAACCAAAATACTATGCGCCATTAGAGTCATGGTGGGGGGAGGGGTGCGTTAAGGCTCCCGTGACATTATTTTAACCTTATAGCGGGACCCCGGGGTCCCATAAGCCCCTGTCTCTCCCATAAACTACGTTGCGATGTTTTTTTTATGTCTGTTGAAGGAGAACGATACGGCAATCTATTCCTTTCGACGAACTCTACACGATGCGCTAATCAAAGTTTAAACGTTTTGTTCATGACTACAGCAATTTTGACAACGACTGGTGCTTGGTGAAGAATGAGAGGATTGGTTTCTGGTGGGTTGCAGTGGGACGGAGTCACCAAAAATTAATTAATTACGATTTTGACTTACGTTTATTCGAGACCTCGGGGTCCCACCATGAGGTTAATTTGATGTTAAGAGGAGAGAAGGCATTGCGCGTCGACGTCACAGTTCAAATGCGGGTCGTCACGGTTACTGCACAAGTGTTGGAGTGCGCTTATTTAAATGTAAAGTGACACCCGATACAGCAGTCTTCATTAATAGGAGTCGTTTTTTCTTCCAGCACGAGACACGACGGTCTTCAAAGATTCCCTTCACTTTCATTTCCACCTTAATATATCCCTCAAGCCCCTTTTCCGAAGGTTCCTTGACCTTTTGCTTTCCCTCCAGCCAATCAACTTCCCACTTTTCCGAACAGATTCTTATCGTCTCTCCCTGTCAATCATCCCTCCGTTTTCCTGATCTTTCCGTGTTGTATTTCTACCTCCAATCCCTGTAATTTCCCCTGCCTCTAACCAATCCCCTTTCAGCCCCAGTTCAGTACCAATCAGAGGCGCTTGTTTTTCACTTCCTGAATATCCATGTCTTGATGTATGCTGTGTTCATAACATCGGGTGAGTACTTTCGGTTTTGAATTAATCACTACACAAATGTATGCAGTGGAAGTGTTATATACTAATGTGTTGCATTCATGTATGTGTGTTTTATATAGACAATTCCCTTTCGACTGGACTGTATCTGACCGTTTCTTGTCCCATGACGCAAACGGTAAGACTGGAACACGTGGTGGTTTCCCGTGCAGCAAAAGGTATGACCTTCACTGGCCCCGAGCTCCGAATTTTCATCACGGAGAGCTCCATATCTCGAACAGAGAGCTACGGTTTGGAGATCCGTTCCTGGGGACAGAATTCTGAGATAAGCATCACCGCATCAACGTTTTCAGGTAATATATTTGACTTTATGAAGCCGGTCCATACCTGTGCAAAATAAAATAGAAGTATACGGTACATTATAAATGTTACTGTATTATATATGTTGCTGTATATGAACCTTATTGCGGGACCCCGGGGTCCCGAATAAACGTAAGTCAAAATCGTAATTTATTTATTTTTGGCGACTCCGTCCCACCGCGCACATAAACGCCGCGACCCACCAGAAATAAATCCTCTAGTTCTTCACCAAGCACCCGTCGTTGCTAAAATTGCTGTAGTTATAAACAAAACTTTGAAACTTTGATTAGCGCATCACGTAGAGCTCGTAGAGAGAAGCAAATTTCTGTATTGTTCGCCTTCAACAGACATAAAATGATGTCGCAACGCAGTTTATGTGAGAGCCGGGGGCTTATTGGACCCCGGAGTTCCACCATAAGGTTCATATACTAAGATACAGATCCTCCGTATAGCCTTTAACAGACTGTTGGGGCAATTGCTGCGATCGAGCAGCACCTGTGAAGGCTACTGGCACTGTGGCCCACGAGGGGGTGGGTGGCCAGCACCATGCCCGGCCACCTTTATCTCCCTAGTGGCGATGTTTACTACACACCGCACCGGGCTACTCATTTGAGACTGAGTCGACCTAGGAGAGGCCCAGGACCGGTTCAGATTATTGTCACTGGTGTTGGTGGCCGTGAGCGGGGAATCAAACTCGGGTTGCCAGGTTCATAGGGCAGCGCACTAACCGCCACACGACCGCTCTCCGTATGTATATATATACACATTTAATCACATGCAGTGGTGCATATTTTTACATTTTAACATCAGCTTTTGTTTTCAGATAATCATGGGAACGTTATCGATGTAAACGGTGCATTGTCACTGAGCAATGTCACAGTATCCGAAAGCAGTGAGGAGTACGGATTGAAGGTCTCAAACTCACTGAATGTGATCGTGTCTGGTTCAACATTCAGAAATAACAGGTACACCTTTGTAAATGGTACTATTTTCCATAAGAGTTTTTTGGGTTTGATCGCTTAAATGTAAAATGTCTTGTTAAACCTGCCACCAACTGACAGGGCCAATTAGTAGACTTTGTCATGTAAACAAAACGTGCCAATTCGTTACTAGTTCAGCACACCGGTTGAGTGTTGGAGAGTAAACCCATAACATTTACAATTCGAGTACCGTGATGTTTCGCTGGTAATTACAACCAGTGTCATCAGGCAACGGCCAGGGTTGTGGAGAAATCCTCCTCCTGTTTTGGTCTTAAATAGAGGGACAATCCAAAATAACCTCTATTATAGATAACATTGGCCGCGAGAGCCTACGTGTTAAACTGGTGATATTTTCCTTCACGGTTCTTATTTTTCGACGATATTTTTTTTACTTTCCGTTATCCCCCCCCCCCCCCAAATTATTGTTTACCCTCTGAAAATGCAATGCAACGGTTCCACTACACACAAACTTTGGCGGTCAAGTTCGAATTCCCCCAACCCATCAGTCGACTGCAGAATAGCTCTGGGGTTTCTTTGCCCTAGGTTCTCTAGTGGCACATAAACTAAAACTACAACCCATTTTTTTATTTTACCAGGTAAGGTAAAAGTTATCTAGCTCTTTTTCAGAAGCGACCTGGCTATGACACACGGATAGCTCGACAAAGTGGCTATCATCATCGTCACGTGGAAAATTGTAGTAGTAGCCACATTCTCTAAACCAAGGCCGTAATTATAATATATATTGGGGGGGGGGACATCCCCCCCCCTCCCCATATTCAAATATGCTCAAAATGCCCCCCCTAATATATTGCTATGAAATAGATTTCTGTTTATATGATTGTGTTATGGTTGTACTTTATTCATCCCTAATCTCTGCCATTACATACAATGAAACAAGAAAAGGTAAAAAAAGAAAAAACAGCAATGTAATACAATACAATCTAAGACATTGTAAAACATAAATAGAAAGTCCATCCTATGTGTTAGTGGATTTTTTAATATTTTAGGCAGGAAATGGCAGGAAATTAGTTTTTAAGTTTAGATTTTTTTCTGGGGGGGGAACCCCAGACCCCCTGGAAGATTTGGTCCCCCCCAATGTTGACTCCATGGCTACGGTCTTGCTCTAAACCAGTGGTTCTTAACCTGGGTTCGATCGAACCCTAGGGGTTCGGTGAGTCGATCTCAGGGGTTCGGCAGAGCCCCCGCCACGGAGGTCCGGACACACTTGAATTATTGTGTAAATTTGTGATGACACACACGGCCCGCTTGGCCATCACTGGCTGCAGATGATCATGCTACACTGCTTGGCCAATCAGCGCTGCGGGGAATTTAGTACGTACTCAGTAGTCAACGTGTGACTGTTGTTGTCGTACGTCGTGTGATTTCTTTAATATTTTATCCATACTAACTATGTCGGGCAAAAGAAGAAAGTGGTCGGACGAATATGTACAACATGGATTCTCATGTATCACGGAACGTGATGGGAGTGAGCGTCCTATCTGCATGATTTGCAACGCCAAGTTGAGCAACTCTAGTCTTGCACCGGCAAAACTAAAGGAACACTTCTTGAAGCTGCATGGAGACGGGGAATACAAGAACACAACACTTGCTGAATTCAGGGTGAAGAGAGCCAGATTCGATGAAAGGGCCACTCTGCCTGCTGTTGGATTTGTACCTGTTAACAAACCGATCCTGACAGCATCATACGAAGTTGCTTACCTGATCGCAAAGCAGGGCAAGCCACACACCATTGGTGAAACACTTGTGAAACCAGCTGCATTAAAGATGGCGAATCTGATACTCGGAACAGCGGCCGAAGGTAAATTATCCCAAATTCCCCTTTCAAATGACACCGTCAGTGACAGAATAGAAGACATGAGTAAAGACATCTTGGCTCAAGTAGTCGCGGATCTGATTTCAAGCCCGGCAAAATTCAGCCTTCAACTCGACGAAACCACAGACGTTTCTGATCTAAGCCAGCTTACTGTTTTTGTACGCTATGTGAAAGACGACATGATAAAAGAAGAGTTTTTATTTTGTAAGCCTCTTACAACAACAACGAAGGCAGCCGATGTGAAGAAGCTTGTGGATGACTTCTTCAGAGACAACAATCTTTCATGGGATATGGTTTCTGCAGTTTGTACGGACGGAGCTCCAGTCATGCTGGGAAGAAAGTCTGGTTTTGGTGCGCTAGTAAAGGCCGATGCACCACACATCATTGTGACGCATTGTATTCTGCACAGGCATGCGTTGGCAACAAAAACCTTACCTCCAAAAATGGCAGAAGTATTAAAAACTGTGGTGGAATCTGTGAACTATGTGCGAAAAAGTGCTCTGAGGCACCGCATCTTCAGTGAGCTGTGTAAAGAAATGGGCTCTGAATTTGAGGTACTTCTGCTCCATTCTAATATTCGGTGGTTATCCCGGGGACAGGTGCTGAATCGTGTTTTTGCCATGCGTGTGGAATTAGCCCTGTTTTTGCAAGAGCACCAACACTGCCATGCAGATTGCTTCAAAAATCCTGAGTTCATTCTCATTTTAGCGTACATGGCTGATATATTCGCAGCTCTCAATCATCTCAATCAGCAGATGCAGGGTGGTGGAGTCAATATCATGGAAGCGGAAGAACACCTGAAGGCTTTTCAAAAAAAGCTACCGTTATGGAAACGACGAACAGAGAACAATAACTTCGCAAACTTCCCGCTTCTGGACGACTGTGCAAGTAAGATCGAAGATGTGTCTGGAATCGGAGATATTTCTGCATCCACGGAACTGAAGCAAACAATTGCCACGCACTTAGATGAGCTTGCAAAGTCTCTCGACGGATATTTCCCTACAAGAGAGTCATATCCAGCATGGGTGAGACAGCCGTTCACGTTTGCTGTTGAAACAGCAGATGTCAATGATGAATTCCTCGACGAAATCATTGAAATTCAGCAGAGCCAGGTTCAACAGCAACTCTTCAGAACAACAACGCTCTCAACGTTTTGGTGTCGACAAATGAACAAGTATCCAGTTATTGCTAAGAAAGCCCTGGATTTTTTTATACCATTTGTTACAACATATCTTTGTGAGCAATCCTTTTCGAGGATGCTGGACATAAAAACGAAGAAAAGGAACAGACTTTGCTGTGAAAATGACATGAGAGTGGCACTTGCCAAGGTGAAGCCACGCATATCTGAACTGATCTCTCAAAGGCAACAGCAGAAGTCACATTGATTTCCAGGTATGTAATTTGTTGTGAGTTTATGCATTGTGTTGGTTTTATTCTTTGAACAAGGTAATGTTCATGCACGGCTCATTTTGTGTACCAGTAAAAAACATATCTATGTCTTGAATTTGAAAAAAATCACATTTTATTTTTCACTAAAGAGGGGTTCGGTGAATGCGCATATGAAACTGGTGGGGTTCGGTACCTCCAACAAGGTTAAGAACCACTGCTCTAAACGCATGTTGATTCTAAATGTGGAGGGGGAAAACCGGAGGATCCGGAGAAACCCCACACGACCACAGACATGCAAACTCCAAATATACAGCAGGCGTCAGGGTGGGTATCGAACTCATGACCCTCCTGTATACCAGGCGAGGTAGTTAACATCTCCTACTAGCCACTGTGGCGCCGTGATGCCCACGTTGGGTGGGCATCGGTGACATGGCCGGTTAAACCACCCTCGACGTTGATACGCGCATGCCCCCAGTACCAACAATCATAACGTGTTCAACACCAATCGCTGCAGATACAGCTTCCGCAACTAGCAACAGCGGCTACAACACTATAGAAGCAGAGAACAAAGCAAGAGCAGTAGCAAGAGTAGCAGACGCCAACTACAATAGGAGGCAGCATAATCGGAATATTTACTTATACCAGAGACAAATAAGGGTGAGAGAAAGTAGCGACAGCAGATTCAACGGTTTCAGCAGCAGACGGCAGCTACAGCAGACACAGACGTTACAGCAGATGCAGCAGCTACAGCAGACACAGACGTTGCAGCAGACACATCATCTACAGCAGACACAGCAGCTACGGCAGCCAGCAGCTACAGCAGACAACAGCTACAGCAGACAGACGTTAAAGCAAACAAAGTAGCTATGGCAAACGGCAGCTATAGCAGACAGCAGCTATAGAAGACACAGCAGCTACAGCAGACAGAGCAGTTACGGCAAAAACGTTACAGCAGACAACAGCTACAGCAGACACAGCAGCTACGGCAGACACAGCAGCTACAGCACACACTGCAGCTATGGCAGACACGACTGCTACGGCAGGCAGCAGACAAAGATGTTACAGCAGAGACCAGCTACAGCAGATACGGCAGCTAGCAGCTACGGCAGCCACAGACACTACATCAGACACAGACGTTACGGGAGACAAGCAGATATAGCAGCTACAGCATACACAGACACTACAACAGACACAGACGTTACAGCAGACATAGCAGCTACGGCAGACACAGCAACTACAGCAGACAGCAACTACAGCAGACGCAGTCACTACGTCAAACACGGCAGCTACGGCAGACAGCAACACCAACAGACACAGCAGCTAAAGCAGGCACAGCAGTTACAGCAAACAGAAGCTACAGCACCATGCGATCCAGAATCAGAAGAATCAGAATCTGTATTTACACCGGAGGAATCTGATGGGCTATAAAGCTCTTTTTCACAGATTGTCCACTTAAGCCCACTCAGCTCCACATCCTCCCGCAGAACGCCAGGCTCAAATATATTATCTTTTCCACCAGTACTCTATGCGATTGGTGTATCGGTGTAAACCGAAGTTAATTATATTTGGGGACTTTTTTTCCAGTGTAAAAATGAGCTCCCCAAATTACATAAATACGAACAAATATCCTCTGATAATATATGTATTCTTTGAAACTGGTGTAGACCAATCCGTTTCAAAGACAATGCGTATATAGTCTTGGTTCTTTTGGTAAAGTCACATAGATAGAAAATAAATAAAAACAGTAAAACAAACACAAAGC